CTTAGACCAATTTAACTTGACTCTAAAATAATCGGGTACGCAATGGGAAGGATTATCAGCAGAAAAGGAAATCGAAATTCGAATCCAGTTTTATACTAAACTAACATAAATGAATCATTATAGCTATAATTTTGATCCACCTTTTATAAGTGATGATTCAACAAAGTAAATATTTAATATGGTCAGTTTGATAATCAACAATATGGTAAATAACACAATCTTGAAGATAAATTACCGTATTTGATAACAAAGAACCTATAGCGCTTTGTAATAACAAGTACTTATTTTATTGAAAAATTTGCTTATTCAAGCGCTAATTGTACATTTACTCTGTAAGTACTAAACAGAGTAATTAGCTGTACTAGAACGAAAACTCTAAAATTTTAAGTCGTCGCCTCGGAATAAAAGATTGTAACACAATTTTTGTGTTCAATATTTTTTTTTCTATAAATACATTAAAAAATAAGTACACATATTTTAATTCCTAATGAAGGAGTTAAAGTTTTCATATAGTTGCTTAATTTAAATAGAAAATTAAAAATTCAATATAACTGTATGATAATTTTATTTTCAAAAACAGTCAACTGAAAAATCATTTTGAATTATCGTTAGGACCATTTTATTCTCCGGCAATGAAGTCCGAATTAAAACAAAAAACCTTAGAATAATATATATTCAAATATTAACGAATTGGAAATATTTTTTAGTTAAATTTAACAACCGAATTGATGGGTACGACAAGAATTACTTTAGACACCAAAATGTGTGATATCGAGTGTTAAGACGTATAATATTGATTATTCTGAAGGGTAATTGAACATCTCAAACGGATATGGTTAACATTAATACAAAATTGTACAAAAAAAAAAATATTTTGATATGATGATGGTATGATTATAAATAACAAAACATTAAATTATTAAAATATACTAACGCGAACGTTATAAATAAAGTCAATAAGAATTAGTTAAAATAGAACATACTAAATTATTATCCATCACATTTTACCATAATTAGTTCCAATGATCAATTGAATTATAAAACCCAATTAAGATACGTGACTCAAAGCAATTACCTCAAATACTAGTAGCTGGTTTTTATGGAACATAAAAAGCTTCACATAAATAATTGTACATGTGATTACTATATGCCTGATTATGCCTTTTACTTATTGACTATGAATTAAAATCACACATTTATATCTCGATCTCCTTTACTTACATTGAAAAGAATACAAAAAACAATTTGAACTAAACACAGTAAAAATTAAATCGTATATAATACTATAACAAATAATTATAAATGTTTTTGTTTCGTTTTAAAATAATCAAATCCACAAAAGAAAACGAAAAGAATTTTTTCAAATTTTATATACAAATTAAAAATAATAATATGTATATTCAAAAAGTTTTCAAATCAAGTAAATAAAAATAAAACGTAGTAAAAATGGGATATTATTTTTTTTGGTGGGTCAAATACCTCTTATAGTATTTCATTTAATATTATCAACTTAAATTAAATAATTAAGTGAAAGCTAATTTATTGAACACACCTCCCCTGAATAATCTATATCAATGCTTCTGATTCAAGTTATCAATTTATCATAAACTCATTATAAAATCAACAGATTTTTTGTTTTTATAGTACATATATTTTTTGATTTTTCAACCAATAATTACTTTTTAGAACTATTACATTTCTAAGAAAATAAGTAAGTGATATTTATATTATTATATTTTATGAATTGTAAAGAAAGTCTACATTCCACCCTGTTTGACAAGCTTTTTTTTAATCAAATTGTTTAAATGGCAAACAAATTTAAGGGTATACAGAGTTATTTTGTCATCATAACCAATTCAATTACTTACAGAATAAAAGTAATTTAAACATTTTTTTGTTTCCCTTGAGATACATATAATCCTTGAATTATTAGCTATGTAATACTTTTCAAGTTCATCCCTTATGCTTTGTAAGGGTGTAAACTAAATTTTTTTCAAATGGGAATATGTATTTTGAATTTAATAAATGTTTGAGTTTTTATCTTAGTAGTAAATGGCATTTGAATTTTTAATGTAACATTATTCGTTTATTTGACATAAATCGTTGAAGTTTCAATATTTTTAGTTAATATACTTGTATAATACACGAGAGACTACAAATACAGTTAATTATTTTTTTAAGACGTCGGTATTCGCAGATGCACAGCTTTTATTATCAATGGTAGGCAAATTGTTGTGAGTTTATTAATACACCAACTGGCAATACAGAAAGCATATCTATTGATAGTAACGTTAGACAATAAAAACTCCATGTCTACGATAGCGACATCATTTTTATTTTATTAAATTCAAAATTTGTGGTCTCATTTGAAAAAACTAAGTTAACACCCTTACAAGGCATAAGGGTATTACATAGCTAGTAATTCAAAAATATTATGTAAGTTAAGGTAACCAAAAAAAAATGTTTAAATTATATTATTCTGTAAGCAATTGAGCGGGTTATGATAAAAAGTCAAACTGTATACAGAGTAAGGGATACATAATATTTCTTAATAATTGTTTTATTTTTTTTAATATCTGCATAGTATATTTATAATGTTTAATATAATAATATACTGTTTGTATTTTTTATTGATGAAAATGCATAATTTATAATTTACATTATTATTTAAATATTCGTTACAAAAATGGAACCTTTTTCATTATGTAAATTATAAATTTATTGTCATACAAATATCTCATTTTGAACGTTCAGTTTTCTGGCTAAATAAAACAAATAAATATTGACAATTACATTTAAAATGATGGATCACTTAAATCAATTCTAATTTCAAAAAAGTAAAAAATAATATTTCAGCAAAAGTTATTTGATCTATAATTACAATGTAATATTTAAATAGAATTATAAAATTAAATTAAACATTTTTTAAATTTTAGATTTAGTATTATAATATAATAGTAAGAACTAATTTTTATTTATCTGCTATTATCCTTTAAATATAATTTTCGACTAGTATGTAAGTCAGCATTGTAAGTGGTAACAGATTGAACATTATGATACTAGGAATGAATTTAAATTTTTTAATGAAATACAATTGTTTAACAAATATGGATCTGTTACATTAAAATCCAGTATTTGCAGTACTTGAATATTTTAATTACCAAGCTCAACTATTGCTGTTTAAGATCTATTTTTAAGAGTTCAATGCATACATCTAAAAATCACTAAAAAATATTTGTTTATGCATAAAGCAGAGCGTAACAAATTGCAGTAATTTTTTTAAGCCATTGCAATAAATTCAACCTTATTTTAATTAATTAGAATAAGATACCGTCTACTGATATTTATTTGTAAAACTTTTCATACTATTAATTATTAATTATTAGAAAACTTATTATAATTTTTATTTTTTTTTTTAACAAAGAAAAATAATTTTTTTTATTATATTTTGGTTAACGCTGATTCATAAAGAAGGTAAATTTTGAAATGAATACAAAAAATATATACATCGTAGTTATATTAATACCTTTAATGATTTTCATCGAATTTAGTAGTATATGGAGAAATAAATAAATCAATTTGACTACATTTTGAACAAATAATAGTTAGTAGAATATTTTTTTCGAATCATTCTTCGAATGCTTAGTTTTACCATTAATAATAAAAATAATTTTCATAAGATAGAAAAATAAGTAATAATAGGTGAAGTAAAGTATTTTTTGTTTATGTTTAAACGTGTATAAAAAGGATTTTAACTTTTCGGTTATCTTTTTTTTATGTAAACAAGCATAAAGAGAGAATTCGAAAGAAGGTAAACGACGATGATTGACGGTGGGTAGTCAAGGAACTAAAGGGAATGAGGAAGAGATGTGCCGTTAAGGTATTCATACAAACTTCGTTTTCTCTTTGGTGTGTCAAAAACTTAAAGCTGTTTCTCAACGGAAACTTTATTAAACTTTGAATGAAACAAGTTGTCGGAGGTTGCCTATTGCATAATCATACAGGTAAATATCCTATATTTGCTAGACATTTTTGACATCGGTAAACTCTAGGTGTTATTAATATATTTAGTATAAGTCTAAAGAAAACAATGACTAGGCAAAACTGTTTAATGTTGTCAATAAATTTAAGTTTTTATAAACATAGGTACCTAATATTTTGAATTTGTGTCTATAATCTAAAAATTATAAAAAATAAGTTTAGATTAAATAGCTACGAAATCTAAAATCATTTTTCTATAAACCTTCTATTAATATTTATAAATGGTAAAAGTTGTGTAATTATTCAAGTTACATTTACTTTACACGAAATATGTATGTGTAATTTTGAAATTAAATTGTAGTCATTATTTTTATTGTTGGCACCATAATTCGAATATCACCTACACTACCAATATACAATTATGAATATACATAACTTTTAAGTATTTTTTTTTTTTTACAATAACTAAATGTTAATTTAGGGAAATGTTTATAACACTGCTCATCAATGTGAAACGCGAGTAGTAAATGGTGTGATTGGTGAGCGATAAACACATAATTTATGTCCTGCATTCGAAATTCGATAACTTTACCCTTCGAATAGTATTATTATTCTATATATTATAATAATATTTATCAATGATATGGTAAATTTAGAAACATTGACCTCGGTCAGCTGCGATAGTGATCAATAAAATGGTATGTATGCCCAACGATCATTTTAGATTGACAGATAAATGTGCACACGTTATATATGAATATTCCGTCAGACCTAAATCAATTGTTAATTTGTTGGTCTCGTATTAAAAATAGTCTATTTGTCAATTACAGAGCTGTATTGAAGAATTTTTGTAAATCAAATACAGAGTAATTTAAATGAAGAGGAATTACGTATGAATTGACATTAATGACCAACAAGTGTCCAACAGTTATTAAATTTCTAAAATTTGCATTAAAAGTAATGTAACGATCCTATTATGTATAAAAAAGCAACAACATATATATATATATTTAACTTACTTGACCATTTGAGAGTAACAAGATGACGGCTCAGAATTATTCGTCGAAGAGGTCAACGTGCTTGTAGAATGAAAACGAGCACGTTCCATTTTCATCCTTTCCATTTCACGTTTTTTCGTTTCAGAGAACTGGGTAGCTATAACTACTAGACAAAGGTTTATCATGAAAAATGATCCGATCTGAAAACACAAGATGATAAAATAAAAAAATATATATAATAATCGCCAATATTTGATAAAGAATAAAATGGGATAAGAATATTAAGAAGTAAACAAATTCAGGCTTTCTTAAAAAGCTTTGATGACAAGGCTTTATATACTTTTTGAAATTCAACTGAGTTTTGCAAAAATAAGTACATTATAATATTTTTATTATTTAAGTATTTTTTATTATTATTACCCATCGGCAAAAAATACTAAGTTCATATTTTCACCCCCAGTGAACATTTATTTAAATCTATACTCTAATAAAAAGCTCTACTTTATTTTAGAGACATTTTTAAAAAGACAATCTCGTATTTTGCTTTTTAATCTTATGTTAAAAATTTCAAGTACACATTATTTTACATTGATTTAACTGTTATTGAAGTAACAATCTTCAAGTATAATAATGTTTGTTTTAAAATTAAAATAAAAAAATTTGTTTAGTTTTATAAAAAGGATATTTAAAATACTAAACGACGTAAAATAAAATAGATTGGATATTTTTTTAAATAAAACTTAAGAAAAAATATTTAATCGTTATATTATAAAGATTATAATTTTATATTTTATTAATATAACATTTTAGTAAGCTTTTATATATTTTTATAGTTAAACTACTTAAGTTTTTATATTTTATGGTTAAACCATAAAAGGTCTATTTGCCGTTAATCCAGGTCAACTTGGTTTGGAGAATACCTTTGGTAGAATATTATGCTTTTATGTAAATATAAGCAGGTGTAGATAAGTATAATGTAAACAAAAGATAGAATTAAGCCAACATTCATTATTTAAATTTTTTTGTTCTTTTCATTTAAAATGCTTGAAATATTTAAAAATTAACTATTTAATAATTAATAGAAATTGATTAATAAAAAAGCTGATTTAATGGGAAAAAACGGTAGCACAGTGGGGTCGTGGCACATTATTGACGTGGCATAGTTGGGTCAAGTATAGATGATATCTGACATTGATTTTAATCACTGTCATAAGAAATGCTTCGATGCAAATTTTTAGATAGTGTTTAATTTTAAGAAGTTGGTGGATTATACCAAAAGCAAAATGAATTCCTATATCTTTCGTTATTCCTGATTATTATTGCTTTGATTTATAAGTATAAAATTTGAATAAACATTTATTATTTATATTAATTAAATTAGTATGCGATTGATATTTAATTTTTTATAATTTTTTCGGAGAAATTATAAAAAAATTATAAGGTAGTTATTACTTTTATGACAAACGCGTATCAAAATTAAAAGACTTGATACAAAACTTTTTAGATAAATATTTGTTGTTAATAATAAAAGAATTTTCATCAGTCAAAAATTTACTTTTTTGAGCAATTTTAGCACTGATTTCAACTTTGCAATTAGATTTTTACATTACCGCTAATTTTTGATATTATTACTAATTAGTTAAAAACGAGTATGAATATTTATTAAATAGAAAATTTTATGAGAATTAAAAAATAGTATTGTGAAGTATAATATGCAGTCAGAAAGTTTATTATTATTATTTACTGAAAAATTTATCAGAAAAGTTCAATATATTTTTTTTTGTAAAAGAACATATAAATAGAATACATAATAATAATTTCTAAGTAATTTTTGTTGTTTAAAAAGATTCTACAATTTAAATATTCAGAACTTAATTAATATTAATTATTTACTTTAACTAACAAAACCAATAAAAAAATTGTTACAAAATAAATATTCAATTGAGCATATTATAAAATTTGATTATAATTAAAAAATGTATTGTTAAATTCATGTGAAACTAAAAATATTTTTTTTTAGAAATTATTTATATAGCAACATGTTATTAAAAAATGTGGAATATTATAGATTGGTAGTAACAAACACAATAGAATTAGAAAATTAATAAATTATTGTCACTACTAATAAATAACTATTATCATATAAAACCTAAAACACTTATAAAGTTTAATTTATTGTGAAAAAGTTATTATTTTGAATCCATCCTGTCGTCAAGCAAAGGGTCGGAGTTATAAAAAAAAATATAAAAATGATAAGTAATTACCTAAAGTATCTATAAAAAAAAAATGTATTGATCCATACATTATGGCAGATTTAAGAAAAAAAAACCCAGCACAGGGGGGTCGTGGCACAGTGGTGACGTGGCATAGTTGGGTCAAGTATAATGATATCTGACAGCGATTAAAATCACTATCAAAATAAAACGCTTCAATGCAAATCTTTAGATAGTGTTTAATTTTAAAAAGTTGGTATATTATTCTAAAAGCTACATGATCTGCTAGTTCTTTATTAATATCCTGATTAAGATAAAGTATGTCGAATGAAAAAGGGATTATAAAAAAATATTATTTTTCATAAAAAAATTGTGTTGATCCATACACTTTTCAATAAGTTATAGCATTATAAAGTTAAAAATGTAAAAAATAAAATCGAGAATTTTCACACAAAAATAGCATTCGGTAGCCATTTTCACAAGTCCAGAGGTCATTTTAAATCCCCCCCTGTGAGCAGATAAAGGGTCAAATTTACAAAAAAAATATACCAAATGATAAGTAAAGACATCAAGCATCTATATAAAAAAAAATTATATTGATATGTTCATTTTTGAAAAAGTTACGGCAGTTTTTAGTAAAAAAAATTGAAAAAATTTCGAAAATTAGCGATTTTTAAATTTGTAATTTTTTTGGAGGTTTCCCCCATTTACGGGGAACGAGGGAAATTTTTTCAATTTTGAAGGGTAATGTCTTCGACTAGATACAATTTGTGATCNACGAGGAATAAGGGAAATTGTTTTCAATTTTTGAGGGTAATGTCTTCGACTAGATACGATTTGTGATCTTTTGAAGTATTGTTCAAAGAAATCGGTTTGGTGAGAGCCGAGAAAAAGTGAAATACTAAAAAAAAAATAATAATAATAAACACATAGTAAAATCAATGCCTTCTCAGCTTCGTATCAAAATTGAAATTTTTTAAATTAAATCAATAGTTGATACATGTTTTTTTAATTAAAAAATTGCATTAACTACAAATCCAAATATATCACTAATTTTTTTTTAATTTTTTCTCTGGAAAAAATTTAACTTATTACTTACAATATTTTCAATTGTTTTATTTGAATAAAAATAAATTATATTAACTATGGAATATTTGTGTATGGTAATATATTACATAAATTAAATCTAGAAAACAGTAAGACTCATAGACAGATTACCACTAAGTCGACGAAATCAACAAAGCATTACAAATGAATTACCCTATTTCTTACATGTGGTTCTATGCATGAGAACATTTCTCCTCATTTGTTGAAATAAGTACAACTTTACTACGAAAGCATTATTAATTACATGTTCGAGGCAACGGTCAGTTTTAAAAGGTTCTCACTACAATATTTAATTACTTCCATTATAAATTGAATGATAAAAGATATGGTACTTACCAAAACAAATGATTTTATAACATTAGCATTTGTAAAATTAATTTTAGCTTTCCTAGTATGTATTAAAAAAGTAATACAGATAACCACATAAAAAATTACAAGTTAACATTAAAGATTATATTAGTTGAAACATTCAGTAAAATAAATGTAGATAAAAACATTTACTATTATAAGTTTTTTAGTACAAATAACAACCAAAACATTTCAATAACAAAGAATAAATAAATACATGTTTTTAAATATGCATTTAAGAAAATAATTAATAAAGAATATACTTATAACTGAATGATGATAAATAAATTGTTGTACACCAAAATAATGTGCTTTTTTTACAATATAAAATATAAATCAATGGGAATAGATGAGACATTTTTACTCAATTTAATGGACAATTTAACGGTATAAATTCATAATCTATATGTGTATTATTCGTACAACAAATTTCAGCCTTCAGTCATATGAATTGCAATTCTAAGCTTAGAGAGAAAGGACAAAAGTCGAGTAGTCAACATGTTTTCACTAAACTTGCACAATGTTTTGAAACGTCGACGCCGACTAAATTATTTCTCACAATGAACTTATATACGATATATATACCTGCAACTTAATTAAATGTATACAAGTTTTCCCATAATAGGTCAGGAGTTTAGAAAATTGGATTTTAAATAGAATTGTAAAAATTAGTAGATGTACATATTAATATTAACAAAACTGACACATAATTCATATATTTTTCTTTTAAAGTATTCGTGATAAAAATTTACCCACTGCAAATAAAATAGTTCTTCTACTTTACATAATTACGTAGGGTTTTAAGGTTTGTTTATTATTAAAAAAGATGACTTTTGCAATACTAGTGTTTCTGTCAACGAGTTTTGATCTTAATAACAACTCTAAACTATATTGAACAAATTACTTTTCTGTAATATTACGATTGGACTTTAAAATACCGTTTTAGACTTCAATGCGAGTTACAATGTTTATCAAAAGAACAAATGATGGGAAATATCGAATAGTTCTTAATCTATTCGATAGTCTATAAAAATAGTTTTTAAAATATTCCATAGTTTATGCTAAAAATAAACTATTCGGTTGTATAAACACAATTTGAATAGTTTATAATCAATAGTTTAAAATATTTGAAAATGCCCATAATTTTTTCTATTATTAATTGTATAATAATTTATTTTAAGTACTCGTTAATTATCTTTTTATGATAATTAAGTGTACTGAATAAAAATTTTAGGTAGAACTAATCGAATAGTTTTTAAACTATTCGATCGTTTATGCTAAAAATAAACTAATCGATTGTATAAGAACAATTCGATAGTTTAAAATAATGGAAAATGCCCATCACTAAAAAGAACATAAATTACAAATTCTTACGACTGGAAAAATTTCAAAGTTTGATTTCTATACAGATTAATTCATTTATCACGAATCACTTATATAATCAAAATATAAATAACACATGAAGGTTTTTTTTTGTTTCTTTTAGATAAAGAAGTTCTTAATTTATCAATAATAAAGTATTATTTATGTTTATCTCTTTTACCTTAAAGGATGTCAACTTAATTGTTTTAACTGGCAATATACATAATTAAATAGTTTATTAAACAGATAATGAACTAAATACGAAAATGACTGGTCGAAAACAACTTTTAGACCAGTTTTTCAAAAGTTATTGACATTTTAATCCTATGCGGGAGGAAGTTTCAAAGATTATTTTACTTAATATTTTATTAGACGTTAATGGGTATTACATTAGATGTACAATTGATTCATATTTATTGATAAATACACATTGATAGTAATAATTAAACTTAAAGTAAAGATCAATTTAAAATCACTCTTCTATTGTACTTAATATAGATTTATATTTTAACTCACACTTCCGTAATTAACTATCTGTTTTCATTTTTCGTTTTAACTAACGATCATCAATTATTTCGTTTATATCTAATAAATCTTCAATGCTTAGCAGTGTACTAATATATGTTTAATAACCAATTAGTAATTTCCATAATATGCAAATGTTAATTTTGTTTAGCTTTTATAACTTTTCAGTATCATGGAAGTTTTGATATTAAACATGAGGTAATAGATTCCATAAATAATCAAACAATCTTTAACTATATCTTGTAAATGATCACGTTGGTAAGTCTAGAATGAAATGTGAATATAATCGGATATTCGCATTTCACTTTTTTTTTAATAAAGTTTTTGAACTCATGTTTTTTTCAGAAACAATGTTTTCAAATTGTACGACTATAAAAGAACTTTATTAAGTAAACAAAAAATCGTACTGCATGTATTTTTTTCTTTATTTTAGAGGTCGACAAATGTATTGTTACAATGAACTAAACTTTTCTTTTAAAAAACTTAGTATAATTCATTTTTACATCATTTTGATTTTTTAGAATATTTTTTTTTATAATTCAAATAGACACTGGAAACTCTTTTATCATTGTAACAAAGAAAATAATTAAACTAATTGAGTTGGTGGTTTTGATCGAAAATAACATTTTATACTTTTAGTTTAAAAAAATACAATTATGCAAACAAAAAACTTTTAACTTCTGTATTCATTCATTCAAAATTATCTTGAAAAGTTTAGATGTTCATTTGACGCGTTATTTTTATTATTAAATTAATAGTACTGTTTAAAGATTTATGCGAGGCTTGTCTTATAACATTACAGTCAATACGAATACTTACCACGATTAGCAGTACAAAGTATATCCAATCCCAAAACGAATGAGCGTCTTGAACATAATACATTATATCCACCCAACCTTCCAAACTTATAACCTGAAATACAAACAAAACATTATAATTGTAGAATGTTTAAATGAATACATAATTTCTAGATGGATGAATGTATAAACATGTATTAAAAATCCTCTACAATGTGATCAATTTCGGGTAAGTCTCTCGTTTTTTGAAAAAAAAAAAGAAGAATTATTTAAGTCAAAAATACTATAATAATATATAGCCAAATCATTTTTTTTCATCCCTTCAGGCATTATAAAATATCTAAAATTGAGTTGTATTTTTTAATAGAACTCATATCTTAACTTTTTTAACTATTTTTTTTATTCGATCGATTGTTGGCGTATTAGTTAAAACATTTGTATTTAAAGCAAAAATTCATCATTAATTTAGTTTTTGTAATACCGGAGACAGAAATAAATGTTTCAATTGACCATATTTTTATGATATTTATCAATAAAAAGTGAACACACCGATGACCAACAATGAGCGATAGTGACTTTGATTATAAGAACAAAATAGTTTGTAATTTTTTTGCCTATCACATTATTAAGTCAAAAGTACGAATTCCTTAAAAAAAAAAATTTTATTATAAGGGTTTTATCCCTTATTGTGTAGCTTTTTGAACTAAATAATTATTCTCTAATATTTTTCAATAGTTTCTGACTAAATAAATGTCTTACCCAAAATTTATCGCTCTGCATATAATTCAGCATTAACAATTTTAAAATGTTCTACATCATTTTTTTACAGTGAATTCCCAAGTGATCATTAATTACCTTTTGGATTCTGGATATTTGCCAAATACTTTATTTAAGGGTCGGTGAGATTTTATTCGAAGAAACACTTTATGAACTAATACATAGATACTTCCAGTTACAATCACTGGCATGAATTTTGTTAAATTATTTATAACAATAAATTTGAATAATATTAGCCACAAGTGATCAACTCTTATTTCACAATAAAACAATTTACATAAAGTTTGTATTTTATAAACATTTTTTTTCTAGAACTATAATATAGTTGATTAGGAATAATGTTTCAATTGAAAAACATTAGAAAAATACTATCTCTCATAACTAAAACAAATTTTAGCAATAAAAGTATTATTCTCTTTATTAGCTTCGATGCGAAGCGGAGAAGGTATTGGTTTTACTATGATGTGTTTTTTTTTTTTTTTTTTTTCTGTTACCACTTTTTCTCAGCTCTCACTGGACCGATTTCTTTCAAAAATACGTCAAAAGATCACAAATCGTATCTAGTTGAAAACATTACCCTTAAAAATTGGAAAAAATTCTCTCGTTCCCCGCAAATGGGGGAAATATCCAAAAAAATTACAAATTTAAAAATCGCTAATTTTCGAAATTTTTTCACTTTTTTTTCTTAAAACTGACAACTTTTTCAAAAATGAACAAATCAATATAATTTTTTTTTTATAGATGCTTGATGTCATTACTTATTATTTCGACGATCTATCTTCTATACGCAAATGGCTACCATATTGAAAAATATACTATTTTTGTATGATAATTATGGGTTTTGTATTTTATTTTAATAGAAGTTGATGTTGCTTTTGCAATTATCCATCAATTTTTTAAAATTAAACACTATCTACAGATTTGCATCGAAGCGTTTCTTATGATAGTGATTTTAATCACTGTCAGATTAAATCTATACTGGACCCTACTATGCAATGTCTCCACTATGCCGCGACCCCACTGTGCTACCGTTTATTAATTATAAATTTGTACTTGTTTTTGTTAAGATATATTTTAGAGTAATTGAAATTATTTATAATATGTAAAAGATCGACGTTTGACATAAGCTTATTATTAATTATTCAATGTGAACATTACCAGACAATAATTATCTGTTAAATTCTTCGATTAAACATTTATGTAATGATAAAACCAAATGTAGTAGAATTTTTTATAGAAAACAGTTAAAATTACGAATTAAGTTTTTTTTCTTTTTGAATTTAAAATGATTTAGATAAAACTATTAAAAGAAAAATGTTGCTAAATTTTCAAAAATGTCATGGTTTCTCGAAACAGAAATTTTAAAATCAATACAGTTTGCATATTAATAACTATAAAAACTATTTTCAACACAAAATTATTGCTATACTGAATGTTAATGTTAATTTACTTTTAGCTTCGATGCGAAGCGGAGAAGGTATTAATTTTACTATGATGTGTTTTTTTTTTTTTTTATGTCTGTTGCCACTTTTTCTCAGCTCTCACTGGACCGATTTCTTTCAAAAATACGTCAAAAGATCACAAATCGTATCTAGTTGAAGACATTACCCTTAAAAATTGAAAAAAATTCCCTCGTTCCCCGCAAATGGGGGAAATATCCAAAAAAATTACAAATTTAAAAATCGCTAATTTTCGAAATTTTTTCACTTTTTTTTCTTAAAACTTCCATAACTTTTTGAAAAATCAACAAATCAACATAATTTTTTTTTATACTAAAACCTTAGATATTTACCTTTCATTTGATATCATTTTTTTGAAAATCTATCACTTAACCTGCTCATTGGGGGGGATTTAAAATGGCAACTTTTTTACAAAAATTAATTTTTTCAACTTAATTTTTGAAAATGTTCCGGAAAGACTGCGTCCTTTAAACATATATCAAATTAAAGCTTATTTTATGTACTACAAAATGAAAAAAAAAAATTTGTCCCGACACTTTTTTTTCTACATTTAAACGGCTGCCGTAGTTAAAAAAACACTATTTTTGTGTTAAAATTTTCGATTTTCGATTTTAAATTTTCAACTTAAAAATGCTATAACTTTTTGAAAAATGTATATATCAGCACAAATTTTTTTTTTCTAAATACATTATAAGTACATCTTTCATTTGACATACTTTTTATTAAAATTGGACAATTTCCCCTTATATAGGGGGCGTTCAAAACTTAAAATATTGTAAAAAACATAGATCTTTTTCAACTGAACTTTTGAAAATGTTCCGGAAATACTGCGTCCTTTAAACATATATCAAATCAAAGGTTATGTTATATACTATCAAATGAAAAAAAAAAATTTGTCCCGACATCTTATCTTCTATGTGCAAATGGCTGTCGAAAATTTAAAAAAAAATGTAATGTTTGCGATAAAAATTACATTTTATCGGGATGTTTTTTGTACTTAAAACTGCCATAACTTTTTCAAAAATGAACAAATAAAAATAATATTTTTTTGTATTGAAACCTTAGATATTTCCCTTTCATTTGATATAATTTTTTTTGAAAATCTAACACTTATTCTGCTCACTGGGAGGATTTAAAATAGTAACTTTTTTACAAAAAATAACTTTTTCAACTTAATTTTTGAAAATGTTCCGGAAATACTGCGTCCTTTAAACATATATAAAATTAAAGCTTATTTTATGTACTACAAAATGAAAAAAAAAAATTTGTCCCGACGATCTATCTTCTATACGCAAATGGCTACCATATTGAAAAATATACTATTTTTGTATGATAATTATGGGTTTTGTATTTTATTTTAATAGAAGTTGATGTTGCTTTTGCAATTATCCATCAATTTTTTAAAATTAAACACTATCTACAGATTTGCATCGAAGCGTTTCTTATGATAGTGATTTTAATCACTGTCAGATTAAATCTATACTGGACCCTACTATGCAATGTCTCCACTATGCCGCGACCCCACTGTGCTACAGTTTTTTTTTAATTTAGTTTCGATAATTAAAGTTGGAACAAATCAATTTAAAGAATTATTTTAAATCATTTACAAATATAAAGTAAATAATTTTGATATATGAATACGATTTATTGCTAACATTATTATAGTTATTTATAAGTTTATTATATTTCTTCTATCATTAAAATATTTTGATTTTTAAACTAATAATTATTATAAAGTTAACAATTTTAATTATTTATTATCTTCTATTATGTAGGAACCCTTATATTATTGTTACTTTCTTCAGTGTATTAAGTGTATTTTTACCACGAAACCAAATATTGATTAACTTTTATAATGTTAATTAAAAGTTTGATATATATTTTTTTAACTTTAATACTTTTAATCGAGTATTTTAACTTCGATGCGAAGTTGAGAAGGTATTAATTTTACTATGATGTGTTTTTTTTTTATGTCTGCTGCCACTTTTTCTCAGCTCTCACCGAACCGATTTCTTTCAATGATACGTCAAAAGATCACAAATCGTATCTAGTCGAAGACATTACCTTCAAAAATTGAAAAAAATTCCCTCGTTCCCCGTAAATGGAGGAAAACTCCAAAAAAATTACAAATTTAAAAATCGCTAATTTTCGAAATATTTTCAATTTTTTTTACTTAAAACTGACAACTTTTTCAAAAATGAACAAATCAATATAATTTTTTTTTTATAGATGCTTGATGTCATTACTTATTATTTCGTATATTTTTTTTTTTAATTTAACCCTTTACCAGCCCACAGGGGGGATTTAAAATCACAACTTTTTCACAAAAAATTAACTTAACTTTTGGAAAGTGTTCCGGAAGGTCTGACACTTTTATATATATCTTAAATTAAAGTTAATGTAATATACTTTATTATGGAAAAAAAAAAATTCGGACTTTATTTTATCTTCACGGTGAAAATGGCCCCGGAATGCTATTTTTGTGTGAAAATTCTCGATTTTGTATTTTACATTTTTAACTTTAAAATGTTATAACTTTTTGAAAAATGTATGGATCAATACAATTTTTTTATAAGAAATAAAATGTATATACTTCTTTCATTATATATATAATGTATATATTTCTTTCATTCATTCGACATACTTTTTTTTAAAATCGGACCATTTCCCTTAATACAGGGGAGGTTCAAAACATAAAAATGCATATAGAAAGTAGAACTTTTTCAACTTGACTTTTGAAAATGTTCCGGAAAATCTGACACTTTAATATATATCTTAAATTAAAGATAATGTAATATACTTTATTATGAACAAAAAAAAATTTGACCTCTGGACTTGTCTTCGTGGTGAAAATGGCTACCAAATGCTATTTTCGTGAGAAAATTCTTTATTTTATTTTTTACATTTTTAACTTTATAATACTATAACTTATTGAAAAGTGTATGGATTAACACAATTTTTTCATGAGAAATAATATTTTTTAATTATCCCTTTTTCATTCAGGATATTAATAAGAAAATAGCAGATCATGTAGCTTTTGGAATAATCCACCAATTTTTTAAAATTAAACACTATCTAAAGATTTGCATCGAAACGTTTTTTTTTTATAGTGATTTTAATAACTGTCAGATATCATTATACTTGATAAAACTATGCTACGTCACCACTGTGCCGCGACCCCCCTGTGCTGGTTTTTTATTATTTATCTTTTATCTAAACATTGTTATGTTTTACTGCGATTTTCAAAAGAGTTTTTATTGTATTATATAAAGTAATCATGTGTTATGGCTTTAGATTTACATAGTAAATCAAATTTCAACCGAATTATGAAAACAATTTGTTCTATTTAAATTTTTACGAAAAGTAGGTATCTTTTATTATATTTTTTAGACTTGAATACATTTTACATTTGATAGGTATATTTACATTTTAATATAATAATAATTATAATCACACTTAATATTGCTGTATTACTCGATATTTAATAACAATTAACCTATTTAAATGTTTTGCATAAAATTTTCAAAAAAAAAAACTTATAACGTAATAGAACTTTGAGTAAAATGAAAACGTTCTATTTACATAGTCACAAAATTTTCAATATTAAAGCGTATTCATTTACAGAAAATTTCGCTTTTTAATAACTAATTTTAAATGATGTCTTATAAAGCCACTCGAGTTTTAATATTTAATATGGGTTAGTGGTACGGTTGCGATATCGACTATAATCGTTGCTACCTGCCCAAACAAAATACAATTAGACTATATTCGGAAGTCTCTATAAATTTTGTATGTTTAACACAAGAATTTAAATTAAGAACAGTTTGCAAAATATTTTAATTAATTTTCAATATTTAATTATTAAACTCATCATGAATTATTTTTTAGAAAATACAATGATTAAAATTTTGAATGAGAAATAATAAAATAACCAATACTTCAATAAGAAGTATTTATCAAGAAAAGATTTCTCATATCCATAAATTAAAGGATTAATTAAAATCCTTTTGTATTTAATTTGAAGCAGAGTATTAGAAAAGTTTTTCAACTAATTTACATAAATATATACATTTATAAAGTTAGATTTCAGTTGCTTTTAAATACTTGAAGTTCACAGAGTATTATGAAACTATTTTACCTGATATGCATTGAGAAAAAGACAAGAAAACTCGTACTTTTCGTATTGGTATGTAACATCTTTAAGAAAATTATTATACTTTTAATTATAGATGATTAATCAAACAATAATAATTTTAAATAAATATCATAAATTAAAATCAAAATTCGATAACCGTAAATTATATTTAATGTGAAAATATGCTTTACTTCTATCATTTTCTTACTTTTGATAACTTTTCTAGCTTTTGATAACGTGAAAAAATCATAAAAATATTTAAATCTTGACAAACTATAAATATTCTAAAAAAAATTGCTACCATTGATTTTCTTTTTTACAATTTAATAGTCTTAAAGTATAATAATAATTTAGTAAAAAAGTAAAGCAAAAAAATTGAGTAAATTAAAATTTATTATAACTGTCAAAACATCGTGAACCATTCTGTATATATTTTGTTTAGATACAATAGATAAACAATATGAAATCTTTTTAACGTAATTTTTTGCGTTTTTTTTTTTACTATACTTTTTAGTCGGTGCAACTTCTAAAGAATTTACACATTGTCTCTTCGAATAATTTTAGTTTTCAGAATTCTACATTTATATAAAAGTTCCAAGACGAGTTATATTATAAGTACAGAGTAAAATATTAAAGATGTGTCGTTTTTGTTGTCAAAACTACTACACACTAATTCAAAACAAAAAATAAAAGTATAACTTACTAATGTATTACTCAATTCTATTTTATTTATTATAGTCTACTACTTTTACAGAATATCTTTAAGATTGAATTTTAAAAAGTAGAGTATATTACTTATATTTTATTATACTCGTGCGATTTGTTTGAATGAGTTCAAATAGTCAACTTAACCTCTAAGGAGCCACACTACGTTACACAACGATCATTGTAGTAATTGAAAAAAACGCTACTAAACATTCCAATGGTGTACACTATATTTTTTTCTTTTTACATTCAACGTTGACGACAGGTCATGTAATGTTGATTTAGGGAATCAAACAATTTGGAAAATGATATGGAGGATCTCCTCGGAGATGTATTCAGAATTCAAGGCAGCCCCATAGACGACGGCGTCAACAACACGGCGTTATGATTGGAGTAAAGTACGACATCAATTGTATTATATGACACAACTTGATCTAATCGAATGATTACCGATTGTAGTGGTGACTCTAATATACACTGTGACTAGAGAACTGATATCAAAATAATCTACCTCGTCCACCGCTAACACGTTAACTAATCTCGTACCACAATTTTGAGTCAAAGTTTAGTCATTTTCTTTGTTTATAGTGTCTATTCTTTTGTTAATATATTTCCCAAATCAGGAAAGGTTTATCATTTTTATAGAATACTCACGACAAATATTGCAACCCAAGCCAGGCCAATGTTATCAAATGATATTGTTCCCTGGAATGGATTCTCACCCTGTGATTTGCATTCTGTATAGTAATGATTCCAATTGACACACGATCCATTAGTCAGTGCCATATTAGCTGTGGCATTACAAATAAGCAAGTCGTGTCGAGTGGGAGGCAAATCAAAACATGAGTGCATACCATTAGCATCATTTTGCGAACATATAAAATCTTTTTCTTGGTCATTTAACGTATAATAGGCTGGCAACATTCTGAAACATAGTATTAAAGTTTTTTTAAAATTAAAGTGGAACATAATTGAAAATAAATTAAATTTCAATAGAATATTTTATACAATAACATGAGTAATAAATAATGTTAGATAAAATTAATTTTACAACTGAGAATACATTTTTAAACTAAGCTTGAATTGAGTATTTCAAAAAGATTTTATGCTGATAAGTATTATGTCTTACAATAATTATTATTCCAATTAAAATATATCTTTAATTAATTATAAAATTTTAAATGCTTTTTAATCGTTTCTGTTAATAAATAACTATTTTTTTAATAAATATTTGTTGAAAAATAAAATGTTTGTGTTAAATAAAACGAGTATTAAACTATTAGATATTTTAATCTGAACATTATAAAGAATAATAAAATATTAAAAATGTTGCCTGATTAATCAATTGAATAAATTTAAGTGAAGATTGTTTACTCGGGTGGTATTTATTTATTTTTTGTATTTACAGGCAATTAAACACTTCAACGTTCTTAAAAGATTGAAATGGATTTCCTAAAGAATAGCGAGGGAAAAGACATTAAAAAAAGGCGAAAGGGGTAGGTTCTTACAGTCTTTGAATTTAAATTAAACAGTGATTTATAAACACTATGTGACGGCAACCGGTGTTAAAGGTGTTCGATTTTATTTATTATGAAAAGGTCAGATCGACCATAACGGCAGTAAGATAAAAATCAATTTTCGTTAAATGAAAAACGTCCTATTAAATGACCTCTTTTTGCAATTTGTTGGTGGATTTTTCTGTTCTATTATTATCATTATTCGCATACAATAGAGTATTATCACGTAAAAAAAAAATTACCCTCACAAAATAAGTAACAAAAAGCTCTAACAATGTATAGGTCAGAACAATACACCTAACTTGGGACGGGTCGGCAAGCGGTCCACTTGAATTGATCTGTTGTCGTAGAATCTGTTGCTTAAGTCTTGTGGATAGCGTTTGCTTCCACCAAGACCTTTTATATAACTATTGTGCTTTTCTTAGTTGACCTCCAAAAATTTTCCTACCTCGTTTAAACATTGAACCTTTGCTTAACTGCTCCGCCGTTCACTCAAAAATGGCTCACCACGCTTTTTATATTATGAATATATTTTAAACAACGCACTTTTATACATCAATATTTACACCGTTCTGCACTACAGCTCATTTTTTTATTTTCACGGTTTCTTTCGTTTTTACTTCATTCATTCTTTATGGCGGACCTAGAGCTCCTTCAAAAATGATTATAAATAGTGAATGATTAAGTTTTTTTTTTTGGTTAATTATATAACTGCTCCCAAAGAACTAAACGGATCTTAATTTTTTCACGAGGAAGTAACATCTGGATTAGCTGCTGTAATCAAGCATTTCGAAATGGATAATCTAGAGCGAAATTCCTATAGAAATGTTAGTTGTATTTAAAAATACTCTATGACTAAAAATTGCTACAAATTTTATTTAATGCTCTCGATGGGGAACGAATTATTTTGTTTATACTAAATTCAGCTAATATCTTAATACTATCACCGAATCAGCAACTTGTAAGTGTGCCAAGCTTTTATGTGTCAAGTTAGAACATTTATTTACAATATGATATACATACTAATTATTTTGTACTAACATTTTTAGTACTCACCTAAAAACATGTTTTATAATGAATTTTAAAAACATCGATACAAGATTTCAATAAATTTAATTTACAACTAATATAGTTTACTAGGCATGCTAGTAAATCAATATTATTGTTAATACTTAAACGCGATTGATTAATAATAAATTAATTGTTACTTGCCATGTAGTATTTTTTTCTGAATCTATGGATATCAAATATTTAATTTTTTACATATAAGTGGTTCTTTACATGAATCATTGCAATGTTAAATTTATAGCCGTTTTAAGTTTCTTACATAATTTAATGATAATAGCTTATTATGTAGGTTTTGTAAAATTGTTCTATTAATAATTGTTTATTGATTTTAAAATAAATAGCCATTAGAATTCATAATAACTGAAAAACAATTCATACATAAATCGATAAGGACAGAAAATTTAGGAGAGATCTATAGCAAAAAGGTTCATTATAATTTGACACTAAGTTAAAAAAGTATTAAAATTGCATTAACGTTTCTTTGTAACTCACTTTAAAAGAAAAGTTTTCAAGGGTTATTTACGCCAACATCTATTTATTGCAAATTTTAATAGATGTGATTTGTAACATCTGGGATCTTGCGACGCCGTAGGTTAAAAAAGGACATTGATGTACAAAATACAAAACTATTTAAACCAAGGCCTCGAACTAGATCACATCTAAACAGATAAATACCCATAAAACCTATCAAAACTAAAATCAATATTTTAAAAACCGCTAAAAACTTAAAACCCTTATTTATATTTAGGTTTACCCGAAAAAAATTCAATAATACTACTTATACATACCATTATTATGAATAAATTTATAGAAAATACATTATAAAGGATCAGAACATGGTAGGACACCATGTTCTGACATATTTAATAACTTTATATCCAGCAAATATTGTGCCTTCCTATTTTTAACAATTTTTACAGTTTTAAACTACGTTAAAAGCATATTTTTTATTATTTGTCTCCAATAAACTAAAAGACATAATGTTTGAAATTCAAAACAACAAAACTCCAAATGTAAATTAATTACTTTCCAAACCTATATAGTAAAATAAATTTGTAAAAATGTATTCCTCCAACATAGAACAAACTGGGATATTCAACATTTTTTAAATCAAAAATTGTATTTCAACAAATGAATAGTATTTTTTTAAGTCGAATATATCTTACATTTGTATTAAGTGCTCTTTTAATTTAAAAAAAAGTATAATCTAAGTGTGTTGCAAAAAGTTGAATGTTATTTGATCCAATTTGCCTCTATTTATCAACATTCTATTGGAAGACTAAAATCAAAAATTACTATTTTTTATGAAATCAAATTACCTTTATTTATTGTGACTACTATATGATTTAATAATAATGTAATTTTACAGCATAATTATTCCGAAAATGACGCAAGAACATTAGTTTTCATACGTAAAATGTTTGTTAATTTTTTTTCATACTCAGTAGCACAATTAGCAAAAAGTTGGTTAAATGATAATTTGGCGTACCTCACAAGAATTTTTTTTATTATAATAGTATCAACATTAAGAATTAGTTCTGAAAAAATTTATCAAAATGTATAAAAAAGAAGAACTTTATTTGAAAACCCCTTACTTGAGATACTCACTTTGAGACCTCTTAAAGTCATGCTACAAGATTTATCAAATAAATACAGAAAATTATTGAAAAAGTGTATCGGTTAAAGGATTTGACATTGATTCAATTTTAACATAATCTAATTTAAAATTTAAGCATTTTATTTTTTATTGATATGACAAAACATTGTTTTTTTTTGTTATAAGAGTTTATTCATTTTTGACAAAAGCTGATTGATAAGTGCAAATAAATTATCGATTGATTTGCATGGTATTATATTTGTGAACTTTAACACATAATAAGGTAAAAATTAATATTATTTCGTACTTGTATCTATAGTATTAGTTTAAAAAGTTACTAAATTTGTGATACTCTTTTATTTTTATATATATATATATATATAAATTTATGTATTACTTTTGCTTTACTTATCTATTATATTGTTCAAGAATATCGATACAACTAGGCATAAAGTTTCAAAATGTATTTATTATTTAATAAGGGAAAACATCTTTGTTTCAAACTGAAAATGCTCCGACATTTATAAACTTTGACATTGCACACAGCGGCTATTGCTACGAATATTAGGTACTCCGAATATCTCATACCAGAGATTACAACAACCAAGACGGATATTATTCCGACATTTGAAATCCCAACACATCATGGTCTTTTTTTTTGCTTAACATTATAGTATCACAAGAGCGTATTGTAACAAGGTATTCGTATTATTTGCACTATTTGCAGTATATTATGCTGCAATGTTATAAAATATTATTTTATAATATCGAAGTATGTTAATGTTGAAACATTATAAGTTTGTGGCAAACCTCGTAACCCATTTAATGACATATTAAATGTTTAAGACTAATCATTTTACGTATATTTTAAAAATTTATTTCACTTATTTTAATGCAGTTAGCATAAACTCTCAACAATGAATACTATTAACATTTCATAAAATTTCTATTTTTCATATTTACATTACGTTTTATGTGTTATATTTGAATATTCATCGATTTAAATTGATTGTTTTTCGGCTAAAAATTATGTTAGCCTAGAAATTATTCAAGTTATAAGGATAACACGTAAGCACACGGTTAGTTCCTGAACTTCAGACACAAAGTTATAAAACGGCAAGTGGTCGTAATCGTTAGTTTTATGTTAAATCCCCACAGGTCTTGAAAATTTACTAATTCTTTGGGTTAAGTGCTGTACGTGAGTAACCTTCTTTCACATCGTTTAACTTCGCTATAAATATTTAACTACGAGTTAATCAAAAACATAAATAGCTATCTTAACAATTTTTCAACGAAATTCAAAATTTTTAACTATATGATTTGAGACGAACATAAGATAATTATAACAAATAAGTATTATATTAAATATAGCACGAAAGTAAACATTTTACATTTAATTATAAGCTATATAATTACTATCAGATAATATCAATGCATATCAAATAAATACATTAAGTTTATTTATTATACATAAAGTGTAAATAAAATTATATAGGTTTCTCAGATTTAATTTATAAAATTCATAACTTTTAGCTTGCTAACATTTTGTTGACATTTTTTTAATAATTAATATCTTTTGCGTTACATTCAAAGCATATTTTTTTATTATTTATCACTAATAAGAAAAATATATTATTTTTAATTTTTTTCGAAATTTTAAAATTGCAATTTTTAGCTTTTCTCTTAAAAAATGTTGATGTAACAATTACTCAATATGTTATAAGCTATTTAACACATAAATTA